TTTTTTTAAGAAATTGTTGCTTTTGATTCTAATATACCACTGGGCAGAGCAGGAAAAAGTGGGCCCTAGTGGCCTCAGGAGTTCAGATCACAGCTCCACAAATTTATTTTAAACTCGCATTTATTTGTGCCAGGCACCCCTCTGAAAGTTCTCACCTACGTAATTTGTCCTCACAACGCCAGTATGAGGTGGGCATTGTCTGTGCCCCGTTTAAGGATCAGGAGCTGGAGGCTCAGAGTCAGGGGGTTGGCTAAGGCCACGTGATGCTGAGGGATGGGGTCAGGGTTGGCAGCCAGGCCCCCTGCCTGTTCTCATGGGGAGAACTTCCAGTCAGTTCTCTAGACAGTGGATCCTGCACAGAGACCTGTGGTGTCAGGAAGGCCACTTCTACAGTTTCAGTTCCCGGGTGGTACTTCCGGGAGGCCGGGGGTGGTCGAGATGACCTCTGGGCAGGTCAGAGGCCCTTTCTCAACCCCACCTCTCTCCCGGCAGACTCAGGAGACCGCTTGAGGCGGGCTCTGCAGCTGTCGGACAGTGAGAGCCTGGTCCCCAGTGACGAGGAGCTGCGCGTCTATGAGAACAAGGTCACCCCCCTCCACTTCCTGGTGGCGCAGGGCAGCGTGGAGCAGGTGAGGCTGCTGCTGGCCCACGAGGTTGACGTGGACTGCCAGACGGCCTGCGGCTACACACCCCTGCTCATTGCGGCCCAGGACCAGCAGCCTGAACTGTGTGCCCTGCTCCTGGAGCATGGGGCAGATGCCAACCTGGCCGATGAGGACGGCTGGGCCCCGCTGCACTTCACAGCCCAGAATGGGGATGACCGCACCGCCCGCCTGCTCCTGGACCACGGGGCCCACGTGGATGCCCAGGAGCACGAGGGGTGGACCCCATTCCACCTGGCTGCGCAGAACAACTTTGAGAACGTGGCACGACTTCTCGTCTCCCGTCAAGCTGACCCCAACCTGCGTGAGGCTGAGGGCAAGACCCCCCTCCACGTGGCCGCCTACTTCGGCCACATCAGCCTGGTCAAGCTGCTTACAGGCCAGGGGGCTGAGTTAGATGCTCAGCAGAGGAACCTGAGGACACCTCTGCACCTGGCTGTGGAGCGAGGCAAAGTGAGGACCATCCAACACCTGCTGAAGAGTGGGGCGGCCCCTGATGCCCCTGACCAGAATGGCTACAGCCCACTGCACACCGCGGCTGCCAGGGGCAGCTACCTCATCTGCAAGATGCTGCTCAGATATGGGGCCAGCCTTGACCTGCCGACCCAGCAGGGCTGGACGCCCCTGCACCTAGCAGCCTACAAGGGCCACCTGGAGATCATCCACCTGCTGGCTGAAAGCCACGCAGACCTAGGGGCCCCTGGTGGCATGAAATGGACGCCCTTGCACCTGGCCACCCGCCACGGGGAGGAAGAGGTAGTGGCAGCGCTGCTGCAGTGTGGGGCTGACCCCAATGCCGCTGAGCAGTCAGGCTGGACGCCCCTCCACCTGGCGGTCCAGAGGGGCGCCTTCCTGAGCGTCATCCACCTCCTGGAGCACCATGCAGACGTCCGTGCCCGCAACAAGGTGGGCTGGACACCTGCCCACCTGGCCGCCCTGAAGGGCAACATGGCCATCCTCAAAGTGCTGGTCAAGGCCGGCGCCCAGCTGGACATCCAGGCTGGGGAGGGCTGCACACCCCTGCAGCTGGCCCTGCGGAGCCAAAAGCAGAGCGTCATTGCCTTCCTGGAGGGCAAGGAGCCCTCGCTGGCCATTGTGGGCAGTGCTGAGCCTGAGGACCAGACAGAAGTGTAGATAGCCTGGGGAATCCTCACCATAAGGGGTTGGGGAAGTGACGCTGGGCTCTGGCTGGGCCCCTTCCCTGTACTTGCCACCTGCCCCTTCAACCTTGAGAAGAAACAGGAGTCTGGTCCCCTGGGTGATGGAGGGACAGGAAGAGTACGCTGAGATTGCAGCTGGGAAGGACCCTGGCTTGGAGAGGCCCTTTCAACACCTTTTCCAAGTGTGTGTCCGGCAGACCACGGTCTCCTCTTCCTGTACCTGGACTCCAGCCCCCAAAGTGAATTCCCTTCTCATACCCAAGACTCCTGCCACCTTGTGCCAGTGACCCCTGGCCTCGCTGGGCCTTTTGCATCCCAGGAACCCTCTTTGAGGACAAAGAGTGGCACAGAGGAGACAGAAATGCTCCTCCCCAACTCAGGTCTGTGTGACTTGATCCCTTACCTGGATGGGGCCAGGAGAGACAGACACTACTTTGTACAGCTGCAGGAACTAAAAGTCCAGAGGACATTCTGCTTAGCATTGGAAGCCCAGCCATCCCCCTGCTGCTGCACTGACCACACCTTCCAGTGGCCCTGGTCCCAGTGCCTGGGTCTCCCACACAGTCTCTAGGAGGGGAAGGAAGGTGGTGCCCCACCTGCCCACGAGTGATCCTATGTGCTCAGTCCCTGATTTCCCTGACCCTCCTTTGCTGTGTCCAGTTATATGGCTAAGTTCAAACCCCGAATTCAATAAAGCTGTGGATTTGTCTCCCCTTTACAGATGTACTGGCCAGTGGAGCTAGGTTGTATATAGGGGCCAGTAGTGTTAGTATGGGGTGTGTGTGCACTTGTGTGTGTGTGTAGTATGTGTATGAATTCACACAGGGAGGTGGCAGGGAGCAGATGCAGGCAGTAGGAGGGGTGGTGATGGCGAGGAGGAGGTTATCTGGGTTCCCTATGGAGCTCACAGGGCGGGCCTTTCCTGTCCAGCAGCAGCTTAGGGTTCTCTCCCGTGACCACAACCTGGCCAGCCATCAGCTGCCCTGTCCTGTCCTGCTGGTTATGGGGCAGGCTGGGACAGGGCTGGAACAAACCTTGTGTGACTGAGCCCTGGCTCAGCAGCCAGCTGGCATCTGCTTTCTCTCTGGCTCTGCCAGCGCTGGCAACCATTGGGAAGGGTGGAGCGGGGCTGCAGGTGGGGGCAGGACAGGTAACCTAGGGGTCCAATCCTGTCCTTCTGTACCTTTTCATACTGCTGGAGCAGCTCTTCAACTCCAGGGTGTTTTGTGATTGTCAGAGAAAAGGAACCTTCTGCCCCAATAATGGCCAGATCCACCCCCAGCCAGTTGGCAGACCCACCTATGTGTGCCACCCTCTGAGCTGGGTGCTGGGTCACTAGTCAGCAGCCTCACATCAGTGTGGGATGAGAGAAGCAAAGCAGAGGAAACCTGTTGCCGCATCTACATGCCAAGTTCATGAGTCATTTTCAGCAGATCCCGCAGCATTGTGTCTCCCATCCTGCGGTCTCTGGATTTTGGCACCAGCCTCACAGGCCCTGAGCACTTCAGCCTACCAAGCTGCTGCCTAGGACCACCGCAGAGACACTTGGAGCAGCGCTGAGTTGGGTTGTGCCCTAGAGCAGTGGTTATAAATCAAGCCTGCACATTAGAACATTAGAATCTCCTGGGTGAGGTGTGTGTGTGGGGGGGAGCGGGCGGTGTAGAGGGGCTTATTCAATAAGTCAATACCTGGCTCTCCCCTTGACCAATTAAACCAGAATCTCCAGGTTAGCAGCGGGTGTTAGCTGGAGAGCAGCCAGGGCTGAGAACATCCACCAGGGGGCGTCCTGTGGTTTCTCTCTGTGCCTTTCCTTAGTGTGCCCAGGAAGACAGTCACTGGCTAGCAGCCCAGGGTGGTGGCCTTTTCCCCTCCTGGCTGGATGAGTGAGGAGTTCTGAGGACTAGGGCGGGGGGCACGCAGCAGACTATCCCACCCTCCTACTCCTTGCTGGCCGCCTGGCCCATTCTGCTTGTTCTCCCTGAGACTAAGCCTTAGGCAAGACTTGTAGTGGAAAATGTCCTGGGAGTTCTCGTTCCTGGAACATGCTGGAGCAGAAGAGAGAAGGGGAGGGGGCACAGTGCTGTTTGCTCTGGAGCACTGAAGCCAGGGTCTGGCTCCAAGTCGAGGATTGGGAATGAACCAGAGAAGGGATGTGGGCTACATATTCACACCCAGGAGCCCAGGTCAGTCTAGGGAGTGGTCAGGAGTGAGCCTCAGAGGAACAACAGTGTGTCTTAGTCTATTGGAAAGAGGTTGAGGGAAGACCGCAAAGAAAGGAGTTAGAAAATTAGATGATCCTTTTGCACCTATTGCCCTATGAATGGCAGGGATTCCATGGAGATTTGGACAAGACTAGCCCTAGGAATCATTTCAACTCAAGATTCCAGGGTCCAGGTTGAGATCCTATGAGCCCTGCTTCCTCTACTTCCTTCCTCCAAGAGATAACTGAGGTAGGGGCTTTAGGCCAGCTCTGGCCAACACAGCCCTTCACTGCCTACTAGCACCTTCTTGTCCCTTTCAACGCCCCCTTTCCTGACACAGACCCTTACAGACACACACAGCATCTACCTTGCATCCCATTTCAACAGCTGCCTTCCAGCGGGTTCCTAGGGATGTTTAGAATTGGATTATAGTGAGGCCCCTGAAATTCCCAAGGAGAGGGTGTCTAGTTGAATTTCAAACCCTGTTTAGGGGAAATTGAGGTCGGGGATAGGAGTTCCTCAATTTCCTGCTGCCCATCTCCAAATGGAGGTCCCATTGACCTTTTAAACTCCCTGTAGCCCAGCTAAGCATTCCCTTGACCTCCACAGGCCTGCTCCTCACCCTTTATCCCTCTTGTTAGCTGAAGGTACCCAGACTCCCAACCTTGGAATTATTCTAGACCAGCCTGTCCAACAGAACTTTCTGGAAGGATGGAAACCTTCTCTACCTGCAACTGGTCAAGAGGAGAGCCACCAGGTCCCTGTGCTACTGAGCACTTGAACTGAGGCTAGTGCAATGGAAGAAACACGTTTTCCATTTCAGTAAGTTAAATTTAAGCAGCCACAGGGCAGTATATACTCTTCAAGATCCAACGTGCCGACCCCCCCCCCATGAGGCCTTCTCTGACTGGCAGCTAGAGACGGTCGCTCTGTACCCACACGCCCTGTGGTAAGGTTCAGGGAGCACCTTCCTTGCTCAGATGAGCCACGTCACTGTATTTGTTTATTTCTGCATTCCAGCCCTCCCTCGGTCTGTCATCCAGATTTACTGAATCAGACTATGGCTGCAGGGTTGTGGCTGTAAAGTAAGGGGCAGAGGGTAGTTGCCGGGCTGGCCTGAGGCTGGGTGGGAAGCTCTGGGGGACTGGGAAGTAGGCTTTGAAGACAGATGGATCTGGATGAAAATCCTGCTGTGCCATTGCTAGTGTGTGACCCTAGGTTGCTGGAACTTTCTGAGACTGTGTGTACCATCTCACAGCATGATGCTTATCTCACTGGCTGCTGGTCATAACTGAATCCGATGCTGTGGGTCAGAAGGGAAAGCAGTAAGCACTCAACATATTCGTTTCTCAGTTTCCCCCAAGTCAGAAGAATTTTTCCCTTGGAAGGAGGCTCCGGCAAGCCAGCTTTGAGGAGCCTTTTGGTAAGATGCTCATAGAAGCCACTGCCTACTTTCCTTTGCTGGCACACCCATGGGAGGAAGGGGCAGCCCTCCTGCAGTGCCTTGGTGTGTGCATACTGACACCTCTGGGGACACACCTAAAGCAGTGTCAGGTCAGCTGCAGGGCGGGGTCCCCCACTGTGGGTCTTGCCTGCTGACCCATAGCTTCGATGACCGTCCATAGTTTGGATGACCCTGAGCCCCAAGAGCCAGACATTGGGTTAGTGTTAGCAAAGCGAGGCGGCCATGTCTGCATCCACTGGGGAGGGGAGGGTCCAGGGCTGGTGTTGGGCCCTACTCTGCCTTCAGCTGGGCAAAGGCAGTGTGAGGGCTCAGCCTGCACAGAGAAGGGCAGGAGGATTAATACAGGGTGTGGCAAAAGTAGGTTTCCAGTTGTTAGCGTGGAAAATAATACCACAAATAATAATACAAGAATGAACTGTGTCTTGCGTACTCACAACTGGAAACCTGCCTTTGCTCACTGCTGTACAGCAGCTGCGGGAGGGCAGGCGGGTTGGAACCTGAGTTTGGAAGGGGCAGGGCTGGGGCAGGTCAGCTCTTTCTGCTCTAGACCGTGGAACTTGTCTCTTCCAGGTAATTTCCTCCCTCTCGTGCCCACCAGGCTTTCCCAGACCTGGACAAAGCGCGGAGCCCGGCTTCCGCAGAGTACACTCTCACGGGCCGTCAGGGTGGAATGTTTGGAGCTGGGCCTGGCTGGGAAAACCCAGAAGGTGCGCATGCCGGAGTTTTGTTTTTGCAAAATCCCAGCCCCACCCCGTGCCCCGAGTGGTGCCACCGCCCTCCCCTTACCTGACTCCCATCCTTCACTTCACCAGCGGCATCTGCCCCAGCTGCCAGGGAGGCTGCCTCCCTCGCTCCAGCCCCCCACACACTCCAGGTCTCGGGACAGAGACCAGGGGTGAGGATGGGAGAAAGCCCCAGGCAAGTACCGTGGTCCTGCAGCGTTTCCAATGGACATGGAGCTGCTTCGGCTCCACCCGGCAGTGAGAGGCCTCTCCACGCCCTCCAGGCCAAGTGTGCTGCCCAGCAGCTCTCACCAGCTTTATTTGCCAAGCAGCAGAGCTGGGATGGGAGAGGGAGTGGGAAGGTGTTCTTAGCAGACACCTCCTTCTCCCTGACTCCCAGAACCCCAAAAAGCCAGGGTGGGTCTCCCCTCCAAAGACGGTTTGCTCTCTCCCACTTCTTGCTTCCCCAGATGCCCCAGAGGCAGTTGGTTGGCAGAAAAAAACCTCCAGGCACAGGAGAGGTGCCCAGACTCTGGCCTCCTGCTGCTGAAGCCTCCTAGAAGCTGTACCCCCTGCCATGTCCCCCCCCCACACACACACACATACTCATTTGCTTGAGCAGCCAGGCTATTCACAGGCACCCAAGGGTGGCATCCTAAAAGTTTAGTGCTAAATGGATTTTTTTTCTCTATCTCCCTTTTAAAAAATCTTCTGACTATAGGAGCCTCCTCCCACTTTTCTCAGGGCTGGTCAGGAAATGGGTGGAGTGGACAGTGTGAGGCAATAGAGTCAGAAGACCTGGGTTCAAAGGCCAGCCTGCCACCCAGGCCACCACCCTTCCTGGAAGAGGCTTCTCCTCTGTAATAGGATCACATGGACCAGCCTCTGGTGTCATGGGGAGGACAGGCGTCATGTGGGGCGAGGGCCACCATGGCACTGCCTAGGTGGAAGCTAACACCACAGACACCGCTTGGGTCCTGGGGCTGGAAGGGCAGAGAGGTGGTGGGCCACAGGCTGGGCCATGTGCCTCCCTGGGACAAGGATGGTATGAGAAGGGATCAAGTAGGTGGGCACACTGCAAATCCCCAAGGCAGGCCAGTCCTCAGCATCCCTGGTTCCCTCCGTCCTGAGACCACCAAGGAAACAGGATCAGCAGTCACTCCTTCCAGGGACCTCCTGATCCGCCTTTCAGGAAGTCCTCCGAGCAGGCTTCTGCTCTCCCCAGTTTCCTACCTACTTGTTCCAGGCCAACCCCACCAGGGCTGCTGCATCCCATGGCATCATCGTCACCTCAGTAAATGGTGCCCT